TTGTATTGGGATAATGGAAATCAAAATGGAAACTACTTTTTAGGGTTAAGGGGTTGGGGTTAGAGAGTTGATGGCTGCGGCAGGAGGGCGCCAATTGGGAGAAATCGCTGCAGTCGCAGGTTTCGGGGTGCCCCCAGGGTCAAGGTAGTCAAGGCACAATTTACGCTTAAGGCTTTAAGTGGCGACCTTACGCTACCTCACCCTACATGGTAGTTTACATATACCTTGGGTTGTTTCAGCGCAATTTTAGGTAACGATTTGGACAACAATTTGGTTGCTAGTGTTGAATGAAGGTTTGAGAGAATGATTTCAGGATTAGGGGTCTTTTGAGTTTAGGTTTCAGGGCCGAGGGTTGGCAAAACCGGCTTGATGTTGCGGGGTTGCGCCTTTTGTTTCGGGGTTTGGAGTTAACGCTTTAGGGCTCCAGTGATTGAATGCTTAGGGCATTTGAAGAAGTTGCTTCCCAGCTCTTTTGCAGAGGACGTGAAGGAGTGAGCCATCAGATCAGTTTCTACTTGGGTACTGCCCCCACTCATTGACAGTTGGATCGTATTTCTAATACGGTTATCTATATGGGCTTTAATATGGCCCCTATTATAAACTGTTGACGGGTGGGGGCAGGACCCGAGTTTCTACAATCACTGCAGGTACCTTACAGTCTCTGCAACATTTGCCTGACGTGCGTCCTGCAGTGGCAGTACTGCCCAGAATAGGATGCAAGGGAAGGTGCGCATACAGTTTCCTTACAGGGGCACTCCATATGAGCTACTGGCGAATTTCAGCCTATGGGGGACCCATTAGGGGATATACCAGAACTTCAGTCCAGGGCTCATATTGTAAAAGATTAGCAAATCCTACAACGCAGCCTCGAATTCCTGAACTGCTCCGTAAGGTCTCGTGATGTCTCGTGTTTCTCGAAGCCTGGGCTCTCATGTCCAAAGCCCTCACTCCTAAACTCTGCCTGGACCTCCCAAATCGACATGATAGTCGCCTTCAATCCCAAAACATGGGCATAAGGCTATTCTTCTTAGTATCCGGGATTTCTAGGTATCCCCCGAAGGCCCAAACCCGCAATGAATCTCTCCTCGCCGCCTCAGACTTATGGCACGCCGGCAGACGAGGTTCGGACTCTGTGGTTGGTGTGGGGTTTGGGCTCCAGGCTTTCAGTTCCTGCGCAACTTCAAGGGTTTGACGATGCAGCCTCAAGCTATCCGTCTGTACAGTGGCTGAAACACGCTCCTGCCAGGATAGCAGTTGTAGGAAAGGATATAGTCCCCCTTAAGTAGATAGAATATGGAATTGTCCAATATTATACTAAGATCCCCATATACCCCATATTCTATCTACTTAAGGGGGACTATACATTTTGGTTTTGCCCGAAGGCGCAGATTTGAGGTTCTACGCTTTCAGGACATACTTGGAGTGTTCGGAAGTCTGAGCAGGTATATTTATAGCCCTATAAGCCGCATAATCTCCCAGTATCCGCAGCGTTAACATACTTACGAAGCCCCCCTGACCCGCCAAGCATGTTGTGCTCCTTCCGCAGCTTGGCATTTTCAGCCAGCGAGTAACATTCTCCAACAGAGCTCACGCGCCTTTTCCACGTAGGAATCTGTCAAACTCTACAACCCAATTGTTTCTGCATACTACTGTTGTCATTTTGTCACCCCTGCTTTGAAATCCCAGCGTGCACGGGCTTTGCAACTTTCATACACCGAAGATTGCATCCATCAGTGGCTCGTTCGGCCTTAGTATTGTAGAACATTAGTTTAGTTGTGATTGCCAACACCGGCTCAGAGAGAGAGAGAGAGAGAGAGAGACAGAGAGAGGGAGAGAGAGCGACAGAATGAATAATAATGATTAGAAGAAGAGGAAGCAGACAAAGGAGAGAGAGAGAGAGGCAGAGAGAGAGAGAGCGAAAGAGAGAGAGAGAGAGAGAGTGTGTGTGTGTGTGTGTGTTTGTGGGCGTGCGCGTGTATGTGTCAGCAGCAGGTCCACACTACGCCTTCGCGGTTACAGGTTGACGGAACCCTCTCTTTTCTTCCAGCCGTCAGTTGCGCCCACGTCTGCGCTTCTCAGCTAGCAGCAGTCAAATGGAGGCAGACATGCCACATCCAAAAATGAAGTATATTCTTATTTCAACGCCCCCTTCACACGTGTTCTTTACGTCGCTTCTTCAACTGCGGTCATCGCCTTTTGGGCAGCTTCCAATGCACAACTTTGTAGCTGAGTGGAAAGACCCAACTTCCTGGCGTACAAACACATGCGTATATGCCGTGATGCGTATCTTAACCTGTACACAAGTAATCCTACATAGCTAAAAGGAAATCAGCAACTAGGACATTCATTGGTGTTAGCAGCTTCCACGGTGAGGACATCCGAGCATTGGCTGACAAGCATGGGATTCGCCACTGCGTTGGCGAAGCTGGTGATGTTGCCTCATCTGAGCTACGGACTACAGTTAGGTTGCGGGGGACCTACAGGGGTTCTAATATGTATATATATATATATACACGTGTGTATGTTTGGCTATAGTGGAGTTGATCAAGGAATCTACTGGAACCTGCGGGATGCAGATAGCGGTTGTGAGAAGAGATGTCTGCCTCAGAGACACCAGGAGATAGCAGTTGCTTCGAATCAAATGCACAGGTGTACAAATAATTGCGAACATCATCCGTTACATCTTGCCTTGGCAGTATTTCAAGAAAATATAGAAAAAAGTCATGGGTTACCCTACTACACCCCCCTAGGTTCCCCTTGAATTAACCTGAATTAGGCCTATTGTCCCAACATATAACCTGAATTAGGGAAACCCATGAAACACGTTGGAAGTGTTTAGGGCCGGGTTCCTGCACTAGCCTACCATTTACGAGTCAGAACCCTGGCGTTTCATGGCTGAGTATTCAGATAATGAGATATGGTGAGGGGATTTTGGTTACCCTAACCGCTATACTAAAGACCCCATAACTATTATACGACTATAAGAAGGTCCGAATTCAAGGTGTTGGGGTAACCAGAATCCTTCTTCTTCTTATTATTATTCGGAGCCTAAGGGCAGGACATATGAGTCATAGTGGGAAATGAGGAATATTAGGCACTAGTCTATTGATTCCTTTGGGTCCTTGTTAGTGCATGCGGGATCATCTGGGTTGTTATATTTGGAGGGAGAGTCATCGCCCAAGGGTTGAACTCTAATGTTCTTTTGCGTCTGCCACCACTTGATCGTCGGCCCTCAACCCTAACCCATGTGGCCACACCAAAGGGATGGATTCTTAGATCAGGGAAGTTCAAGAACCTTGCAGTCGGAGATGCATACTGTATATTGGGGGAGCCCGGGGCATTCTTAATGCCGTGTGATCCGTGTTCCTGAAACTTTCTGTGACGCTTATCACAACTTATCACCTGAGGGTTGAGACAGCTTCTCTACAGAGTTTGGCTCAAACGTTTACAATTCCCCAAATGCTAGAAGCCATATTTCGAGGCTAAATCTTGTCATCTAAGACCACCGCACGAGGGTTTAGGGGCTCCACCAACCTGATGCTAGGGTCTGGGCCATTGCTTCCACCGGATATGGTTGCTGATGCTATTCGTTTGGCATTTTCAAGTTTAGAAACATGGGCTTTTTGATGTCCATTACTGAAACTGATCATACATGTGAAGCCCTGCAGTCTCCAACATCTCCCTAAACCCTAAACCCTAAAACAAAAGTTTCCCTTTTCTTTTCCATTATCCCAGTATAATCCCCTATATAAGCACCTTGGCGATTTGCCCAAGGGGTTCAGACCCCAGGCCCGAGGCTGAAATCTAATGCGCTGACTCGCACAAGAAGCCCAGGTGGGGGGGGTTTAGCGAAATTGGGGGGTAAATTCTGGGGCCCCCATAATAACATCCCTTAATCGTTTGCATCCTAAAAGGCTTGCTTCCGAAAATGAGGCGACTCTAATATAGACTCCAAAATATTCTGGTCCTTATTACAGTAGGGACCCTCAGAAAGGTACCCCTAACTTTGGGAAACCTTAAACTTTATCCCAAAACCCTAAACCCTACATACCTAAACCCCTTTAAAGGGTACCCCGAATATTGGGGGGGAAATCCTCCAATATGACCCTCACATGAACCAACAGGAAGGATCCTTAATCCCCAAGGGGGGGCTCCTCTAGGAGTAGAAGCCTGAAACCTTTGGTTGTATAGGGTTTAAAGGGTGTATAAATCCTAAACCCCGAAACCCTGAACCCTGAACCCTAAAGCTAACAGCCAAAAGCAAGCCCAGGTTCTGATCTTCGATTCAAACCTCCTGCATGCATCGTGTGGCAATCGATCGCCCTGGCACAGGAGGATCTAAACTCTATAGTCCCCCTTAAGTAGATAAGAATATTGCTTTGGGTATATTATAATAAGATCCCTATATACCCCATATTCTATCTACTTAAGGGGGGCTCTAACCCTAAATCCTGCATGACTCCTCATTCTATCTTGATATCTGATATGCTGCAGTACGATAACTTCTTAGGGCTTTCATTTTTAGCGTCATGTATGATGTTGCCCATCAACAGTAGCCCTGAGGGCCCAACTACCAGACAGTTATAAGCCCTCCCCCAAGCTAATATTGCAATTACTATGACCAACAACCAAGTATCAAACTATTGCTTAGTTGGTCTCTGTGGAGTGTGGGAGTGGATTGTTACGGGAATCCCCGTATAACTACTCTACACTAGTACCTCTATACCCTATACCCTCCACCCTAAAGCCCAAACCCTAAAGCCCTATGCCCTACTCACTAAATCTTGCCCCTCCCCACTCCCCTATAAGCACCAGTAAGGCAAGGAGCGTTTGGGATCTTCAGTCTGTAAGGCTAATGGCCTTGCAGGGCGCCACTCAGTTCAAGTACTCCACTCCCCCACTCCCATTGGCTACAATCCCGTCCTTCCATTCCTTCATTCTTTCATCATCAGGGGTGTTGAGTAAGGCCGTTTTCCTTTTTTCGGGCTCGTAAGGTGTTTATAAGAATCAGCTACATGCAAGATTGTTGACCTTTTTTTTGGTCTTAGTCATAGGCCCACATGGGCTTCAACAACGAAGCAGCGCAAGCTGAATAGCTTCAGCTGGGGCGCAGTATTTGTGTTGTTGATCCACTTTTTTCTTTTTATGGTAGTTTCTCAAATCAGGGCACGAGACTTTTGAAGGAGTCTTTCTGAGGGTCTCTGTCCTGCTGAACGGTGCATAGTTCTGATCATGCTCTTCCATGTATGCTGGATACGTCATTAGCAGCGTGAGGGATCAGGAATGTTGTCCCTTTCTAGCTTTTTCTGAGTACAATACTACCCTGAACCCTAAACATCCATACTGCCCCACCAGATTCTAGTTATTGAGACGGCCCCTACATTCCCCACGCACCTCTATCAGTGCAATAGGTGGTTTCCTGAGGAAGGCCAGGCGATAACTCCACGAATCTACAAGCAACCTTTCTAATCCCCAATGATAAAGTACTCTTCCACGTGTATATGTATATATAGTATATATATATATATACATCTCTCTCTCTCTCTCTCTATGTCTCTCTATCTATCTGCCTAGCTATATACATACATTTATATATTGTTTGTACTGCTAGGTGAGTAGGTGGGGGTTATTGTTAGGCACCCTGGGCTCAACATGAGCTCATGAGACTGAACACCAAGCCCCGCGAGGAATCTCTTCGTCGCCTTCAACTCCTGGGAAAATCGTCTGCAGTCACCATTCTATGCTGAGGCGTTGGTGCCCTAGCCCTAATCCTGAACCCCTAATCCTAAACCCTAAAATCCTAAACCCTAAACCCTAACCCTAGATGGTAAACCCTTATATGACCCTTAGAGGTTCAAGGTTCAGCGGAGAGGGCAGGACCTCCAAGCCTGTAATGAATCCAAAAGCTGCTCTTATATGAGCTAAAGTCTCCCCCTTAGTAAGCCCTGTGATACTCCCCTATAGAATCCCCAATCTAACCCCCTTTAAGGAGTTTAAACCCCAAACCCTATAAAGATCCTCTATGTAACCCCCTTTGGGGAGTTTAGACTATGGCTCATGATGAGGTTTAGGGGTCAGGCTTGGCATCGAAGGCAGGCTGGAAGCCTAAACCCTGAACTCTACACCCTGAAACCTAAACCCTAAGCAGTATAGGAATCAGATGCCAAGTGAAGATTTGCTTCAAAGGGCTGGGCGCTGAGGGTGTATGATTCGGGGCGGATTAGATTTAAACCCTTAAGCCCTAGGCCCTAGGGGGTTGCTCCGGCATCCCTGAGGCTATCCTACTGATAGAGTGGTAATATAGGAAAATAGGGGGAATATCGGGTTTTTGTAGGGATAATGGAAAAGGCAGTGGAAACTTCGCTTCAGGGTGGTCTGGGGTTTAGGGTTCAAAAGTAGATCCATGATCAATAACCCCCCTCCTTTTAAAGGCCTTGATGTTAGGATCCCTATTATAACCCCTATTACGGGGAGGAGGGGGGTGGTCATTAATAAGGGGTTTTCATTAGACTTTTGTATGCAAATTCTTTTCCAAGGAGGCCAGCTGTTAGTCTACTGTCTGTTGGAAACAAAACTTGGCTGTCTTCTGCCTTGCTGTTAGGACTTTAACTTTTTGGGCTTCCTACTTTCTATATTGTTAAAAGTCTAACTTTTAGGGTGGGTCCTAAAGACAGCTAAGAAATGTTGGTGATGGGTTTGGGGCCGTTTGTTGTCTCCTATTGCCTTGTGGCGCTTAGCTGGGATGGGTATGTAGGGACTTGTATACTTGGGGTGATCCTGAACTAGAAACCCCCGGGGGAGGGGGCAGGTTAAAGGTTTTTGGCTTTGCTGTCAAAGCCAGGATCCATAGCTCTGGGATGCAGCAGGGCAAGCAAAGGCAAAAATGCCCACATTGGGATAATGGAAAAGAAAATGGAAACCACTAGGATGGGTTCTATTGGGTTTTTAGGGGTGATATTGGGATAAGGGAAAAGAAAATGGAAACTACTATTCAGGGCTTACAACCTACTTTTGTTGGAACTTACTCATGTTAATGGCACCCATGCAGTTCCACGCAAATGTATTCTGCGCATTTGTATACATAGATTTGTGTATATATGTATATATGCACTTATACAGGTTCACATATACATACATATATGTACACATGTGCCCGCCCTTTCCGCCTTAGCCGTGTTGTCAGCTAGCCGCATCTCGGCGGAAGTGGAATGGCTGGTAGGTAGATCGCCAAGCTAAATCTAGCAGACTAGTCCGCACATAGATCCCTTTGATGACTCTAAGAGCCTGATTCCCGGTAAGAGGGATCATGAACCCTAATGTTGCACCAGCCTGGCGGCCGTGGGCAGAAAGTTGACACACGATCCTAGACCCTAAACCCTAAACCCTAAACCATAGTTAATAGCACATATTCTGCTATTCTTCTTACTACTATTATGATTGCTTTTCATTGTTATTGTTTACTTACATGCTACCTACTACTATGACCTTTTGCTGTTACACATTTTCGTCGTGCTCAATAGGGTGTCTTGGGCCTTTTTTTTTTTTTCTAGGGTTTGGCTTCTGTAAGACCCGCCGCTGAAACACAGTAAAAGGGAGGCCTTCAATCATTAAACCCTAAACCCTAAATCCTAAACCCTAAATCCTAAACCCTAAATCCCAAACCCTAAACCCTAAATCCTAAACCCTAGACCCTAAACCCTAAAACCCTAAACCCTAAAGGCTCTTCAGGCG